CCACTGGAATTAGAAGAAGTTATAGAAAATTATGCCTATAGAAAATTTCCTGGAGGAATTGCCAGTATTTGCTTGAAATGAACTCCAATCTGAAACAACACGAGGGCTTATTTTTGGATGAGAACCTTATTATATCAATATGCAACTTTCGCGTTGCTGTTTCGCATCAAAGTTGAACACTAATATCCTGTGATTATTTTTGACATTAAGAAAAACTTCCGTAACTTCGGGGAAAACGTTTGGCAGATATGAACAGATCTGAAGTAACGTTTTGAGCTTGTTTGTTGGCACACTTTGGTTTGACTCGCCACTTCGGCCAAGTATCCTGCCCTTGTGAAAAGAAAAACCACATAGGTTATCAAAGAAGACAATGTTAGGGATGGCAAGCAAACACACGCGGAGTGTCCTATGTTTTTGGCCAAGATGTGGTCTTCGAAACTTGTCAGAAACTAAACATTGATTTGATTGCGAGAGCTCATCAGGTATGAGGCAAACTGTGACGGTGAAGTCATTATGGTTTTGGTTCCATTCAGGTTGTGCAAGACGGATACGAGTTCTTTGCTTCAAAAAAATTGGTGACGATTTTCTCGGCACCTCATTACTGCGGCCAGTTTGACAACTTTGCGGCAACTATGAAGGCAAATTTCAAGCCTCATGTCTCAACTCAAAAACTTACTGAAACTTCTATTTAGGTAAATGAAGATCTAGTATGCAATTTCGCGATGTACAAGCCCACCGCGAAAGCTCTTAGAATGAATGCTGGAAAATAAAGATATCGAAAGTGCAACATATTGTATCAATGAATGTTGTGAACTAGTCTTTATCAACTGTACTATGGATAGAAATGAATGTCGTTCAAAAACATTATGATAAAACAGAAGGCATCTTCTACAGTAAGGAGAACAAGGCCTTTCAACAACTCCAGTCTAATATGCTTTAACTCAGTTTGACGCGAGTTGGCACATTCAGTTACAGAAATCCTAGGAGGCTACCACAAATCATTTT